AATAACAAAAACCAGCAAAAAAGTAGATAATAACAAATATTGATGAGGATGTAGAAACATTGAAATCTTTGTACACTGCTGGTGGGAGTGTAAAATGGCACCATTTTAATAAAAAATAGTGTGGCTATTCTTCAAAAAATAGAAATAAAATTACCATATGATTCAGCAATTCTATTCTTGGGTGTATATGCAAAAGAATCAAAAGTGGGCACTTGAAGAGATTTTTGTCAAATAGCCTTATTTGCAATAGCCAAAAAGTAGAAGCAATCCAAATGTTCATAAACAGATGAATAGATTAATGAATAGTCTATGTACATACAATGGAATATTATTTAGCATTTATTTTTTCCTCTATTTTAAAGAAAGTTTTATTTAATAAATACAAATTTCATAGGTACAGCTTTAAGAACATAGTGGTTCTTCCCCCCATACCTGACCTCCCAACCCCACTCCCATCCTACTTCCTACACCTTCTCCCATCCTATTCTTAATTAAAATTCATTTTTAATTATCTTTATATACAGAAAACCAACTGTATACTAAGTAAAGATTTCCACAATTTGCACCCACACAGACATACAACATATAAAGTACTATTTGAAGACAAGTTTTACAGTTAATTCTCATAGTACAACTCATTAAGGACAGAGGTCCAACATGGGGAGCAAGTGCACAGTGACTCCTGTTGTTGATTTCACAATGGACACTCATATTTATGACATCAGTGATCACCCAAGGCTCTTGCCATGAGCTGCCAAGGCTAGCCTTTTGAGTCCACAAACTCTATCAGTCTTTAGATAAGGCCATAAGCAATGTGAAAGCTCTCTCCTCCCTTCAGAGAAAAGTACCTCCTTCTTTGATGGCCCCTTCTTTCCAGTGGGATCTCACAGAGATTCTCCATGCAGGTCATTTTTTGCCACAGTGTCTTGGATTTCCATGCCTGAAATGCTCTCATGGGCTTTTTAGCCAGATCTGAATGCTTTAAGGGCTGATTTTGAGGTAAGAGTGCTATTTAGGGTGTTTGTCATTCTACGAGTCTGCTGTGTGGCCTGCTTCCCATGTTGGATCATTCTCTCCTTTTTAATTCTGTTTATTGTTGTTAGCAGAAACTTGGTCTTATTTATGTGATCCCTTTGACACATATTCCTATCTATATGAAAGTTACTCACTTAAAATGATTACTTTAACTAGCAAGATGATTACTTTAACTAGCAAGATGGCATAAGTAACACCAAGCTTAATGGGATTTGGAGTCCCATGGCAAGTTTTTAGCTTTACCCTTAGGGGTAAGTCTGTGGGAACATGTGCTGAACTGTACCTCTCCTCCCTCTCTTATTCTCACTCTTATTTTTTACTGGGATCAATTTTCAATTGGATTTAAACACCTATGAATAATTCTGTACTGAGTTTTTATTTGTTCTATTGAATTTTTTAAAAAAAGATTTGTTTATTTGAAAGTCAGAGTTACACAGAAAGAGGATATGCAGAGAGAGAGAGAGAGAGAGAGAGGTCTTTGATCCACTGGTTCACTCCCCAAATGGCTGCAATGGCTGGAGCTGTGCCAATCCGAAGCCAGGAGCTAAGAGCTTCTTCTGGGTCTCCCACGTGGGTGCAGGTGCCCAAAGACTTGGGCCATTCTCCACTGCCTTTCCAGGCCATAGCAGAGAGCTGGATAGGAAGTGGAGCAACTGGGTCTCAAACCAGTGCCCATATGGGATGCTGGCACTTCAGGCCAGGGCGTTAACCCGCTGCACCACAGTGCTGGCCCCTCTATTGAATTCTTCATTTCATTTTGATTTCTCTTTAAGATCTCAATTTCATGGGAAAATTTTTCTTTCATGTCCTATCCAGACTTCAGTAGTTCGTGCATTTGCTTTGATTACTTCTATGTAATCTTATGATCAATTTTTTAAATTCTATTTCTTGCATTTCTTCTATCTCATTGTCTTCACACTCTAGTATTGTAGTGTCATGTTCTTTTGAGGGTGTCATGTTGTCTTCCTTAATTCTTGAATTGGTGCATTTGTTATTCAGCATTTGTGGAGATACTCATTGGTTTCATTGTTTTTTTTTTTTGTTTGTTTTGTTTTGTTTTGTTTTGTTTTGGCTGTGGCAGCTTTTATCTTTACACTATGATTCTGTAGATAAGTGGAATGTCTGCTTTCAGTGACTCTCTAGAGGCTTGTATTGGTTGTGGCCAGAGATCTCTGTTCAGTTCTCCAGGGTTAAGGGTGTGCCTAAAGTTACACCCAGGTTTGGTGTGGTAATTCTTCTCTTTTTTAATCAGAAAAGAGTTTTATTCTCCTCAGCTGAGCTTCTCTCCTCAATGGAGACCAGTGCCTGAGCATTAGCCCCAGTGGGTATAATACTAGTTTGCTCTGTTCCAAGGACCACACAAAGGATCTGTGCAGTCCTCAGTGTAAATTCAGATTCCCCAGCAATGTCTCTCACTAGGTAACTAGGAAACCCCAAGCTTGTGGAGTCTCTCACTGAGACTGTTCAAAGCCTCAGCCACACTGTAAGTCCTCTCACACACCTTCAGTTTTTTTTTTTTTCTCACAGAAGCTTTACACAGTCATAAGTTCCCAGCCCCCAGTTAGCTCTCCCCACTGGAGTCAGGATTCTCCACTCATTTGGTTGCTGGGCAGACACGAGCTGGCACAGCTGTTATGTATGTCCAAAATGGCAACTGCTCTATCAGCTTGTTACAGGACACCATTGTAAAGTGATCAGGGAGAGAGAAGTGTGTTCATCCCATCTTTTTTTTTTTTTTTTTTCTCCTCTAGTTTGGCCGGTGCACTTTCCCTAATGGGGCTCCAGGCTGTGTTCTCTCTAGGGTCTTCCTGCAGCTTTTTTGCCAGTGGATTGGGCTGCTGGCAGTCTGGTCTCACCTTGCTTTCCAGTGCTGCTGTGTAGGCTCTCAGCTACTGGAGTCCCGAGCATGGGCGCTCATACCCTCCACACAGGTCCACTGTATCCCTCTAAGTTTGATAGAGTTTCTTCTGCTGTTTTCTCCCTAACTCATCCCAGCTACTGGAGTCCCAAGCATGGGCGCTCCCACCCTCCACATAGGTCCACTGTATCCCTCTAAGTTTGATAGAGTTTCTTCTGCTGTTTTCTCCCTAACTCCCCTGCACCACAGTGCAGCGGGTTAACACCCTGGCCTGAAGTGCCAGCATCCCATATGGGCACTGGTTTGAGACCCGGTTGTTCCACTTCCTATCCAGCTCTCTGCTATGGCCTGGGAAGGCAGTGGAGAATGGCCCAAGTCTTTGGGCGCCTGCACCCACATGGGAGACCCGGAAGAAGCTCTTGGCTCCTGGCTTTGGATTGGCACAGCTCCACTTTTTAAAAACTATCTTCTCTTGGGATAGAACAGTAAGCTCCCTCTCTGCTATGCCATCTTGGAACCTCCCTATTTTAGCATTTAAAAGTAAGAAGAGAGCCAGGTGTTTGGCCAACTATTAAAAATAAACAAGAAGTTTGTATTAAAATGTCTGTATCCCACATCAGAGTACCAGGATTTGAATGGTGCTTGGGCTCCCAATTCTATGTTTCTGCTAATACATACCCTGGGAAACAGCCAGTGATGGCCCAATTAGTTTTGTCACTGCCATACATGTGGGAGATCTAGATTGAGTTCCTGGATCCCAACTTTCAGCAGATACAGCCCAGCTATTTTAGGCATTTAACAGAGAGGAATTCTCCATGTGTCATTTTCTCTGCCTCTCACTGTCTCTATCTCCACCTTTCTCTCTCTCTCTGCCTCTCAAAACAAAAATAAAGTTAGAATGTAGGAAATTCTGACAATAAGCTACTTTATGGATAAACTTTGAGGGTATTATGGTAATTTAAATAACCCAGTCACAAGAGGACAATGACTGTATGATTCCACTTGAATGAGGTTCCTAGAGTAGTCAAGTTCACATGGAGAAAAAAACAGAAGGGCGGTTGTCAGGACCGTGGGGAAAAGGGGAATGGGAGTCATTTTTCAAAGCTGTGGAGTTTCAGTTTTGCAAGATGAGAGATGTTTTGTAGATGGTCGTTTCTGTTGGTTGCACATCAGTGTGAGTCTACTTAATGTCACTGAATTATACCCTTAAAAGTGGTTATGATGGTAAATTTTGTGGTTATGTGTGTTACTAATATTGAAAAAAAAAAGGTCATGCCTTGAGAAGCAACCCATTTCCTGCTTTTAATCCGGAGCTTTTCCACAACCTATCTCAGGCTGATTCTTTCCTACTTGGTCCTTCTTGACCCTTTAAATGTTGTTCTAAAAGAGTTTTCCTGCTTTCCTGAAGCCTCAAGATCATTCCTCAAGGAAAAATGGAGTTCTGACAGGGATACCCTGTGAGTTAAGGTGCTTGTCCCCTGGAAGCATGTACCTTCTGGCTGCACACAAACTTTGATAGGGGGTGCAGTTTCCAGAACTTCTTCCTTCAGTTTCCTGGTGCTTTAATGCTCCTTGGTCCCAAATTCCATGGTTCCTGCTCTGGGCTGTGGACCATGATGGGTTACTGAGCAACTAAGGGCAGAGGAGGTGCCAGTCATGGGAATGCAGCTTAAATTAAACGGGTCTGGGTTTTGAAAATTGTAGTCTCTAATGCATTACAAGGGGTGCCAAGGCAGTTTTGTGCACCTTTTGGTAGGAATCAGGGTTATCAGGATTTCTCTTCCGTGGTGCTCTGCTGCAAAGTGGGCATAGGCTGCTCACATCCCCCAGCAGGCATCAGTTCATGCATAGACATCTCTATGGTCAAGTAACCGTAGAGTGGCTCCTCTTCTAGTTTGGCGGGAGCACGCATGTGCAGTAGCTGTGACATGGGAAAAATGGCGGAGGAAGAGCAAAGAAAAAATTCTATTGTTTCCTGGAAAATCTCCTGAAAAAGCAGGGAGATTTAGCAAACCCTCAAACCCACAAAGGGAAAGCGAGAGCTTTTGGCAAAGAAGAAGCGAAAAGGAGAAGAGTTCTGGTTTAATGGCTATAATCATTCGTACAGGTGTCCTGCCGGCCACTACGTGATGAGGTGCGACTCGGATGCATGGAAGTGAAACCTCAGGCCTTGGAAGAGCCTGGCAGACTTTGATTTATATATCCAAAGGATTAACGGGGTGAGTTCACTTGAGGAGAGGGCCATTACAAGACTTCACCAGGAGCAAATGTTCAGTGACTTTTGTCAAAGTCACCCCACCCCCACAAAATCTGAAAATATTGCATGTGGTGGAAGATTAAGTAACCTAGAAATTTCCAAATCCGAAGTCTGCCTGGGAACTGTATCTTGAAACATGGTGAGTTGAAACAAGCTTAGGTAACTATTAAGACGAGACCTCCGACAAGCAACACAATTATTGAGTACCTGGGGGAAATTTGTTGTAATTTGTGTGAAGACCTCACTCATGGGGTTGCCTTCTGGGAAAGCATATTGAGGGGATCTCAGGGTTCCTGTGCCCTTTCCAACTGATGGCCACTCGTATTTGCAAGAATCCCGTGGCCTTCCTCAAGGAGATGGTCTCACCTGGCGATCACAGTGAATGAATCAGTCAGCTCATCTACCAGCTAAACTAGACCCAGGACGCATGAAAGCACAGTGGAAGTGTGTGTTTTGTGGGGTTACTACAGTTGCTGGGTGATGGTGATCTCAGTTCTTATTCCATTTTAAAGAAGAATTTCCATGCAGCAAAAACACAGTGAGAAAAGTGAGATTTATTGAAAGTGAGAAATCTCCTGCCATAGCAGGAGTCTACAAGGAGGAGTTGACAAACAAGCTTGCCAGTACTGGTTTTCTTATACACAAAGTGGCTTTCTATTACTGGCCTCCCTCTAAAAAATCAGACCTAGATTTAACCAATCAGGGCAGGAACAGAATAATGACTAATTAGAAGGCAAGGATTACAATCTTTTCAGCCTTGATACAACTAAGTAGAATTAACTGACCTAACTGCCTTCCAACAGACCTAACTAAATTCCTCACATGCTTTCCCTCAGAAGAATGGGCCCTAACTGCCATTAGGGATATGGGACAATGACTGCTCTGGCTACTTCATGCTGAAAAGGGCATTGTTGATGGACAGCAGCAGAGTATTCCCCTGAGGGTTGATCTAAAGGTTACTGGTAGAATACAGATTCCCTTGGGGGCTGCATCTGGAGTACCCCCTGGAGTTTGATGGATTCTAGTTGTGTATTCCTAGAGGTCACAAAGCCTGTAGGTGAGGTCTTCTTAACTGTTTGAGTTGCTCTGTAGCTTAATGTGTGTAGTTGTCCTTGCCTGTGTCAGACTTGGGATTGACTTCCAGAGTCTGGTCTGCTGGGGCTTCATAGGTTCAGATTTTTACTTTGGTATGGTAGATCTAGGTTGTGACTTGAGATCTTCCCTGGAGTGGGAGAGTATGGGCAGATGACAGGGAAAGGGCCTTCCAAGATTCAGAAAGAGATGGAGTGGGAAGAGTTTTCATTAGGATTGTGTCCAGAATGTGTGATAAAAAAGGAGTAAGTAAATGTTAGATCATTCCAGACACGGCGTAAAGGTTGGGTGAAATATCCAGGCTGGGAGTTCTTGAGACACCTTTTATGGTCACAGTATGTGAGGAGAGGGGATCAAAGCTGGAGTGGAGGACAGAAAAAAGTTGCTTCAGTATCGAGGAGGAAATTTATGTTTTTGTTCTACTATAATAACCACCTGGAGATCCTGGGTGCTACTCTGATACATCACTGGAGCCTGTAAAGGGACCCCAGACCCCTTTTACCCCATGTGAGAGGCCCATTGGAAATACTGGATACTGGGATTCTCAGCCTTTGGGGTCACACTTTCAGTGGCTCCTCCACAAATGAGACGTGGCTCTAAGGGGGTCTATTCTGACAGTCTCTAAGTGTCTGCTGCTTTTGCAGTGAAAGCACTGGGAATGCAGCTTGCAGCTGCTACCAGGAGTATAACGTTCTTCCTATTCTTTCGTTCCTGCTGTTTGGCCCTCTCTTCATCCCTATTATAAGGTGGTGGTGGCCACCTTTAAGAGATTATCTAGTGTGCTTTCAGGTCCCACTGCATATTTTTGGAGTTTTCTCCTGATACCGGGCAGGCTGGGTCAGAAGTCTCTCCTTCAAAATTGTTTGTTCTATAGAATCAGACTTTAAGGGGGAAATGTTTCTTTAAATCTTCTCAGTCATTCCATAAAAGCAGAGGGATTTTCTTGTGGCCCTTGATTGATCTGGGGATAATTTAGAGTAATTAAGGGGTTTGGGTATAATTCTCTTTAGTTCCTCTATAACACAGACAATAAGATGCCTTCTCCAATCATCTGCTGGATTGTTAGGGTCTCAGTTAGGCTTGTGCTGGGGAACTGCCTCTTTGCCACCTTTTGTTCATAGATTGCAATTCTTTGTTATGACCTTGGGATACATACAGTGCATCCAAGTTCTGCTGCTGCCTGTATAGCTGCAAGCTTTTGTGACCTTGTTAGAGTTTGGTTGAGGGGAAACATTACGTCCTTCCAAAACTTAACTCATACACCTGTGTTAAGTTCTGGACAGCCTCTATGTAATGATCTGGGTAATCTGGGAAGCTACCCAAATCTCCCTTAATCTGCCTAATATCTTGCAGAGAAAAAGGAACTTGGACTCAAGGAGGTTCCCACCCTTCAGGCATTTGTTGAAGAGGTAGTAAATTGGCATGAGGTTCTGAGAGAGCTGAAGATTTGGGGTATGGAGAACAAGTAGGGTGAGCGGGTAGATTACAGGGGTGTCTTTGTGGTCTTAGAGGAGACAAAGTCACCAGAATAGCTGAGTCAACCTGACAAGCTTTATTGAGTTATGGATTTTTTCATAGCACAAAGGAAGCGTGGACTAAGGGACCTCAACCCATTTTCCTGCTTTATGACAAGAGGGAATTAGTAAGAAAATAGTATTGTAGTTAATACTTCCCTCTGAAGGCCAGCTTTCTTCATCTTCTAGTTTGTAATCAGGCCAGGCAATGGTGCAGAAAAAGATTAGGCATTTTTCTTTAAACTCTGGGAGGTCAAAGGGGCCCCAGTGGCTGCGTATACATCACTAGGGAGTATCTGTTGTATCTCTCCCTGATTTGCCAGATAAGCACAGACTGTGAGTGACCAGTTACCATTACCAGCGGTTGTGCAGGAACTGGACTCCTGCCTGCACAGTATGTACTGTCTGTGACCTGGGATTTGTTTGGCCAGCACACACTGGGAATGATCAGTTTGCATTACCAGTGGTCATACTGTAACTGGGCTTCTGCCTTGGGCAAATATATATCTTTTTGCTGCTTTGCACCCATACATGAGGAGAAGCAGCTATTATACACCTCTTTACCCTGAGTCATATCTTACAGGTATGTATTTAAAATAATCCTTCATAACAATAGGCTTAACACAGATATTTTGAGCTAGAGTTTGGAAAGAGAACACGAGTCCTGGCCACCGCTCAGGTTGCTGACTAAACAGGTGAGGGGACAAAGGAATATGGTTAGGGAACAAAAATTTTTCTCAATGTGCTACTTCTGAGATATCAGCTGTATAGAAAGGACCTGATGGAGGTGGGCCCAAAAGGCAAAGACCTGAGAAGGAAGGAGGAGGACATGAGAGAACATGACAGCATAAGGGGTCTGTACCTAAAAGGTGACTAGATGGACAAGACCACCTGTATCTACAAAAGGGATACCTAAATTCTGACCCAAACTAACCAGATGTTATGGAAATACAGATAATGGGACCAGAAATTCTTGTTTGTAAGAGATGAGGAGGGACATAGTGTCCAGAGTATAGTGAGACATCAGAAAAAGAGATGGAGATCTTGCCAGAGTCTGGTATAATAAGGAGTGTTAGGGCACTGGGGCCCAGAGCCTATGGCCTCACTCTAGGCTGTACCCAGTCTCACTGAAAGATTGACCTCTGTGGAAAGAAGAACAGAGTTCGTTTCTCAGCCCAACACCCTAATGGGCTGTCAGACCCTGGTGTCTGGTCAAGCAGCCTTTGCAAATGTCAGAGTGTTTTCCTGGCCTGAACTTCACAGTTTACTCCAAGACTTTCTCCCAGTCTTGTGATGGGCTAATCCCTGCAAAAGGAAATTGAGTCGGGCAGGACCAACATTACCAGAACCGAGATGAGAAGTAGAGAGGGTGGAGCTTCTATTGTTACAGCTTGTGAGGACTGCAAAAGAGCATGCCCTGCGCACTCTAACGAGGCATTGCAGCATGGAACCCATGGCCTTGCTCCAGGCCACACCAACCTCTGTAGTGCCGCCTCCCTCAAGAAATACACTTCCCAGCCCAACACCCTTATGGGCTGTTGGAGTCTGAAGTCCAGCCAAGAGACTTTCAGGAAATGCTGGGGTATCATCACTGGCCAGGATCTGTCTGACAGCTCAAGGCCTTCTCCTAGTCTCTTGTGATTCAGTGCAAGAGAGTGGGGGATTAGAGTAGACTCTCTGCTGTGGCAGATTGATCCAGCAGTCGTCATCAAGCCGGATCCCCTTGTCTTCAGCAGCCATACTAACTGCTTTTAATTGGCTGACAGGGACCTGGCGTTCTTAAGGATCAGAGAGTTGCCATAAGAAGGAGTAAGATTCTCTGAAAAACAGACAGAAACAGTCCACTTTCTCACCCATCTGGAGAGGTGAGCTGATGCTGATGAGTCAGATTTGAATCGAATCTACGTCATGCCGCCACTAGTTGCAGGACAATGAAGGCAATCTCAGTTCTTATCTCACATTGAAGAAGAATTTCCATGCAGAAAAAGACATGAGCAAAGCAAGATTTTATTGAAAGCGAGAAACCTCTTGACACAGCAGGCAAGAAAGGGGGGCTCCAAGAGAGGAGTTGCCAAAGAAGCCTGCCTTTGTACACTCAGTGGCTCTCTCTGATTGGTCTCCCTCTGAAAACCATACCTAGATTTAACCAATCAGGGGAGGAGCAGAGTAACAGCTAATCAGAAGGCAGGGATTACAATCCTAACTCTGCTAAAACTAAGTGTGGTTAACTGACCTGTCTTCCAGCTGGCCTAACTGCCCACTAGCCCATCTAACTGCTTACACTATCATGGATCTTCAGAAAAGATTGTTTCCCGCCACATCCTGAGAAGCTGAGAGGTAAGGATAAAGGAAAAGATCATCAGTTACGACCATGACAGGCACGTCATCCCAGCTCCGTTCTAAGGAAAAGTTTCATTGTTCTCCACCTTGGCTGCTGCCTCCTCTAGACAGCACATGGCATGGAGGAAGGAGTCCTTTTTTTGTCACAGCTTCTATTCTGTGGCTTAATGTTGGTGAATGACTAACCCAGTCATGTGTACAAGACTTCCCAAGACTGTTGCAGCCATGAACCAAGCCCATGGGCATACCTGAACCTGGGCGCCACTTGGGTCTTGTTATGAAAAGACTTGAAATGCAAATAGGAAGAGGAACAACAGGAGGATAAAAGGGTCAGGAACTCATATTCTAAACATGGATGCTGCAAGGAAAATGTGGTATGAGGTTTTGGATATTTTTTTAAACTGGTTAACCAACATTCATAAATCGAGAGATTTCAGAGAATAAGTGGTCTTCTGGTTTCTCTTAATAGATTAGATTAGCTTTGGGTCTCTGTAGAGGGCAACATTCCTCTGAAATTGGCCACTGAAACCACGTTAGATGGGGCACTCTCCCTAATTTCCTGAAGACCCACCTTTGCCTTAGTGCTGGCTCTGGAGGCACTTAGTTTTGCAAGCTGGATTCTAAAAAATTTTTTGGTGTCTCCTGTAAGCACAAACTGAAACTGTTATAGTATTTTAGGGCCAAAGCATATGTACCAGGTTTCCTTTATATTTTTGGACACCTTGCCCCCTAAATCTTCATAGTAGGATCATTTAGGAGCTCTCTGTATTGGTACTGAGTGCTCATGGCTCATCACAGCTGACAGGCAATGCTGAGAGTGGGAAAGGATGCAATTGACCTGGCTTCTGTGTTTACCTATTATGGATTATTCCAGAACCTTGGGTCATCTTATTGATCATACACATCTGAATCTCAGGGAGAACCTCTTGGAAAATCTCAATCTATTCTAGGACCCAGAAAAACAACCAACAAATATTGCCTATTGGCTTCAAGTGAAGCCAACTGGGGCTTCCTAATGGTTCTCTGCTATTTTGTTGTAGCTAATTCTGCTATGGAAACTGATGGCGTTGTGGCCTCAGCTCTGTAGAAGTGCCAGTGTCCTGCAGAAATTCTATGGCTTAAAAATAATTAGGTTCATCTCACCTAAGTATCTTGGAGGGCCAACTAAGTTTAGAAAATTCTCATTAGTTATTACTGCATCTCTCTCTCTCTCATTCCAAGTCCATCAAGGTGTCCATTGCTCCCGGCTATTACCTAATTATTGCTAAACGACTTTGCTAGTACTTTTCATTAGAATAAATGAAAAATAAATTTGTTGCCTCACTAGTTCATCTCTACTTCTTTGCTTTCATTCTGAATTTTCAAAGCATTTTGCAAGGATTCTGGTAGCTCAGACAATCTCATTTATGATGGTGGTGGTGGTGGTAGGATGGGTCAAGAAATAATGTTGACTACATTAATCTCTGAACAAATTTTTTACACAGTTCAGAACACTTTACCCCCATTAGAGACAGCTGGCAGTGTATAAGAGAGTACAGAGGTTAAAGTAAGAAGGAAGAACAATCTTAATAGGCAACAATTGGATTGTGTTTAATATGTACCAGGAACTATTAATTCTTTTGACATTTCTAGAAGTCAGGCCATACAGTTCACAGATGGGAACCAGAGGCACAGAAGGCATATGGGATATTCTTAGGCTTATGAAGCAGGTAAGTAGTGCAGCTGGGATTAGATCAGAGGCAGTCCCACTTCTGAGTCTGCTCTGTTAAGGAAAAATATAATTTCTCCTCCTTACAGAGCAGAACAGTTCTGCAGGGTGGAGCTAGGCTGTCCCACATCATTCTCACTTTCATAAAAATTAACTACACAAAAGTGCTAACAAGCGCAGAGCAATAAGATCACAGTCATAGCATTGTGGAGACTCCTGAAAAATATGCTATGTATTTTAGCTTATTTTGAGCTTTTCCCTCTTCTTATTGGTGACAATATATGTAAGAATACCTTTAAACTTTGGATTTGGATTGAAGACTAAGAGAGGCCCAGAGAATTAGCAGGAAGACTAACATAGGGATGAATAATGGGCACAGGAAGTAGAATCAGTGCACATTTGAGTGCAGATTGAGCAATGTTGAGTCTTAAGGTGAATCTGAGCAATGCACTGTGAGTTTCTCAATAGGGAGGTATCCTTTGCAAAAAATGGTTTTAATAAGCACTTATAAATTCTTTTGTAAAAATATAACAAATACCATGTTAAATGTAATACTGAATTTTTAAGAAGGTAGGAGCAATACTAATGATCAAAAACTGAAGAAAAAATAATAAAGGGCAAGCATTTGGTCTAGAAGTTAAGCCGCCAGATAAGATGTCCACATTCTGTATCAGAGTACCTGGTTCAAGTCCCAGCTCCTCTGCTTCTGATCTAGTTTCCTGCTAATGTGTACCCTGGAAGGCAGAGGTGATAGCTGAAATGGGTCCCATCCACTATTGGAAAATTTGGAATGAGTTCTCAGCTCTTGCTTTGGTTCAGCCCAGTCCTGGCCATTGCTGGCATTTGGGGTTAGACCAAGGGATGAGTGCTCTCAGTCTGTGTCTCTCTCTCTGTCTTTGTCTCTCTATCTCTAAAAAAAAATCAGAGTGATAAACTATAATTGAAGCCAAAGTTACTGAAAAGATACTTATAAATCTCATTAATGAGGGTCTAGCTCAGTGGGGAGACCAGGCATTGGGCCCTTGTGAACTCAGTAATTAGAACTGATTTCTCCACCTAAACTGTCTTACATATATGCATCTCTGCCTGTCCTCAAAAAGAAACAAGTCTTATGCAGCCATGTCTGAGAACTCATAACAATGGGTCAGTTGTCATGTAGGAACTGTTTTTTTTTTTAATTTCTGCCACTCACAAGGTCCATAAATTCCTATCTAGGAAATTAAAGTTGTCTTAGGGCATTGGACAGAAGAAAAAAAAAAAAGGAAATTTGCTGGAGAGATGTAACTCTTAACTCAGGCCTCACAGGATTTCTACTTTAAAGCCATTCTGATGACAATGACTTTGTGTCTTAGTCTGTTTTCTGTTACTATAAGAGACCAGAGATTGGACAATTTATAAAAACAGACTTCTTACAATTATGGAGGCTATGAAGTCTAAGAGTTTGGCACTTGGTCACGGTCTTGCTGTTGCATCTCTTTTTTTTTTTTTTTGACAAGCAGAGTTAGACAGTGAGAGAGAGAGAGACATAGAGAAAGGTCTTCCTTCCATTGGTTCACCCCCCCAGATGGCCACTACGGCCTGTGCACTGCACATCTGTGATCTGAAGCCAGGAGCCAGATGCTTCCTCCTGGTCTCCCATGGGGGTGCAGGGCCCAAGCACTTGGGCCATCCTCCACTGCCTTCCTGGACCACAGCAGAGAGCTGGACTGGAAGAGGAGCAACCGGGACAGAATCGGGCACCCCAACTGGGATTAGAACCCAGGGTGCCAGCACCACAGGCGGAGGATAAGTCTAGTGAGCCATGGCGTCAGCCACTGTTGCTTCTTAACACAGTCAAGGCGCCATACAGTGAGGAAGCTTGTGCGTGACACAGAGAAAAATGACAGAAAGCTCATCCTTCTATCAAGAGATTATTCCAGTAATAACAAATCCAGTCCTTCAGTAGTAACCTTAACCTTACTCTGTTTAAGAGGGCAGTATGCTCAGATTAATCACCGCTTAAAGACCCCACTTTTTTTTTTTTTCACAGACAGAGTGAGAGAGAGAGAGACAGGGAGAAAGGTCTTCCTTTACTGTTAGTTCACCCTCCAATGGCCACTGCGGCTGGCGCACTGCGGCCAGTGCACCACGCTGATCCGAAGCCAGGAGCCAGGTGCTTCTCCTGGTCTCCCATGCGGGTGCAGGGCCCAAGCACTTGGGCCATCCTCCACTGCACTCCCGGGCCACAGCAGAGAGCTGGCCTGGAAGAGGGGCAACCGGGACAGAATCCAGCGCAACTAGAACCCGATGTGCCGGCACCGCAGGCAGAGGATTAGCCTAGTGAGCCGTAGCACCAACCGAAGACCCCATTTCTTAATACGATTACAATGACCAAGCAAATTTCAATATAAGTTTTTGGAGGGGAGGGTTGAAAGCATCTAAGTTTCTAATAGGAAATTACAGAATATTAGAGAGAGCAAGCCACCATGAGTGAGAGCAGCATTGTAATTAACAGAGACAAGACTCTGAAGGAACTCTGAAGGAACTAGTGTTGAATTACAATATTTAAGGAATTAAAAGTCAGAACAGAGTAACATGGAAGCTCCAGCTTCCCACTGATGCAGCTTCTGGGAAGCAGCAGAGATGATGCTTCAAGGAACTGGAGACCTGGGTTTTGCTCCTGACTCCTGGCTTTGGCCCCAGCCCAACCCCAGCAGTTGTGGACATTTGGGAAGTGAACCAGGGATGTGAGATCTGTTTGTCCATCTGTCTCTGTCTCTCTACCTTTCAAATGAATTCAAAATTTTTTAAATAAAAAAGAATACCTCCAATCTGATTCCATTTAAATAAAGTATATGCACATGTCCAGAAACATTACAAGGAGTGAAAGAATAGAGATACAGAGACATGAGAAACACCATGTTGCTTCTTAGAGGGATGAAAGAAGTTGATATTTGGGTGGGATATTTAGTGCATTCACAAACATATGTATAATGTTTTGTCTCTTAAACTGAGTTGCAGGTACATGGAGTTAATTATATTACTATTATACATTTTGCATATCTGAACCCATTAAAAATGAAGGGTGAAGGGATTGAATAGGCAAAATTTTGAAATGTTTGATCAAAGGAAGAATGGGAATGTGATAGAACCTGGAGGTAACTGAAGACTCAACAGAGACAGATGTGTTATTTCTCTGTGTTAATGGTGAGAAGGCACCAGGACCTCTGCTGCATCCAGTGTCCATATCATGACAGCACCAGTCTTCCAACCTGGAGCATGTTTTTGTGCTAATGGAATGATTGAAGATGCAGAAGAGAGACTTGGTAACAGAAAGAGTTGTAGAGGAAGAATACATAGGGACCCTTTGTGTTGGAACTAACTGGGGAGAAAGCAGTGGGTGTAGACAGAGGCAATCACATTGATTTGGGAGATGGAAAGATGAAAGAGTTCCTAAATGATGACTTCATTTCCTCAGTGAAGTAGAGACAGTGGGTCACAGCACAAACTCTGTGTAGAGAAAGTGACAAATAGTCAGTCCTTCCTGAAATCAAGCCCAGAAAGTCAATGCAAGTACTGGCAACACTGAGTGTGTGTTTGAAAGTGGTCATCTTCCATTTATCTGCCGCACAATGGGTATTACTCCAATACCACTCAGTCTCACCACCTAAGCACAGAGAAACCCATCAGTGGGCACCCATCTAAAAGAATGGTGAAAGTTGAAGGTACTTATTTAACTGGGCTGTAGACTGGTGCTGGGAAGAAATTAAAAGAAAAGTAGGAAATGGCTGATGAATATAGAGAATGCAAGAGGTGATTGAGAGATTGGTGACCTCATTGAATTCAAAGAATTTTCCTTGGATGGGAAGTGAGTGGGAAAAGTAGACCAGTGAGGGGAGTGTTGAATAATCTCAGGCTACATAGTGGCCCTGCTTGGCATGTTGCAATTAGAAGCATCAGTCCAACACGCAAAGAATCCTAACATTTTAAATTTTACATTGAAATGCCTTGAAATGGTTCAAAGAGAGAATTGTATTTCTTGTTATAGCAAAACACATCAAATCCTTTTTGCTTAACATTCTTCCTTAACAGCACCCTTCTCATCCCTGATCCTCTTCTATAACGCCATCCTAAAATTCCAGTGTTTTCTGCCCCTTCCCTCCCCCTTTATTTTCACCACCCAGCTCTCCTCTGTTGCGCAGGGAGTAGTTTCAGGCCTTTTATAACATGTATCTGTCAAACCTTAGCTCTGCCCCATATAGCTTTTCAGCTGTGCCCATTTTCTGGATTCGGTACAGCCAAAGCCTGGTAGCTCCATTTTGGCCATTTGAACATTGTGACTTAAATCCAAAAAAACTTGCATGTGGCTTGGTTTTTGATGATCAGGTCAGGGATGTCAGCAAGTATAGCAAAGAGGAAAAGGATGTTGTTCATGAGAAGGTCATGGTCTCGAGAGGCCCAGCTGTTGAACAGGGTGTTCATGTAAGAGCTTGCAGCTGTATCAAGTGATATCAGGAGCTAAGGTGAAGAAGGAAACAAGTCTTATGTCTTCCTTGAGTGACAGGAATGGTCAGGGAATTTCTGCATGATTCTTGTGATGAGGGAGACAGTTTCCCAAAATAGCAGAACTATTTTTATTCAAAAGAGGAAAAGTAATGGTCTCAATAAGTTGGAGAAAACTCTTTGCACCGGAGAAGGCAATAGGCGAAGCAGTGTTTCTAAGGGAGTATCAAGTTTTGATTAAGAAAAGAAGAGGAGGGGCTGGCGCTGTGGCGCAGCAGGTTAAAGCCCTGGCCTGAAGTGTTGGCATCCCATATAGGCACCGGTTCTAGTCCTGGCTGATCCTCTTCCGATCCAGCTCTCTGCTGTGGCCTGGGATAGCAGTAGAAGAAGGCCCAAGTCCTTGGGCCCCTGCACCCGCGTGGAAGACCTGGAAGAAACTCCTGGCTCCTGGCTTTGGATTGGTGCAGCTCCGGCTGTTGCAGCTGTCTGGCGAGTGAACCAGCAGATGGAAAACCTCTCTCTGTCTCTACCTCTCTCTGTAACTCTATCTTTTAAATGAGTAAAATAAATCTTTAAAAAAAATAAAGAAAAGAAGAGGAAGTGGTTCAGAGACATTGATGGGAAGGAATTTCCAGAAGGTGCAGCGGAGTAATGGTTAAAACATTCAGGGGCCGGCGCTGTGGCTCACTAGGTTAATCCGGCACCCCAGGTTCTAGTCCCAGTCAGGGCACCGGATTCTGTCCTGGTTGCTCTCCTTCCAGTCCAGCTCTCTGCTGTGGCCCGGGAGGGCAGTGGAGGATGGCCCAGGCCTTGGGCCCTGCACCTGCGTGGGAGACCAGGAGGAAGCACCTGGCTCCTGGCTTCGGATCAGCACAGCACGCCGGCCGCAACACGCTGGCCATAGCAGCCACTTGGGGGGTGAACCAACGGAAAAAGGAAGACCTTTCTCTCTGTCTCTCTCTCTCTCACACTGTCTAACTCTGCTTGTATAATAAAATAAAATAAATCATTAAAGAGAAATAGCAAATTTCAGACATGAAAACTTCAATTAAAAAAACATTCAAGGAGTAAGTTCAGTACAGTTCAGGAGTAACTGTTCACAAAGACTGGGGAGTCTCACTCCTTGGTGACAGATAGAGGGATGTGGAACATTGTGAGTTTAGTTCTATTGCTCTTTTGGAGGAAAGTGGGTTGCTTTCCCTGTTACTCCAGCTTTATGTCTTCATTTAGGGAAAATGAAAAGTTTCTGATGGGTGAGGCAGTGTGCCCCAATAGCAGCAGTAGAGGGGCATTTGGCTTCTCGTGGAGACTTATGCTTTTGAGAACTTATCCTAAGGAGTTAATCACTGCAACACACAACGTTTTTTTAACTTTTATTTAGTAAATGTAAGTTTCCAAAGTACAGTTTATGGATTACAATGGCTCCCCCCTGCCCATCACTTCCCTCCCACCCGCACCCCTCCCATCTCCTGCTCCCTCTCCCATTCCATTCACATCAAGATTCATTTTCAATTATCTTTATATACAGAAGATCAATTTAGTATATATTAAGTAAAGATTTCATCAGTTTGCAACACACAAATTTATGCATGAGACTATTTACCACCATTTTAGTTTTTTAATTTTTTAATTTGAGAGACACACAGAGAGACAGAAGGTGAGAGAGCTCCCATCTGCTGTTCCTGAAATGCCTGAATTTGGGCACTGGGCCAAGGCTTGACTCAAAAATAGGGAACTCAATCCAAGTCCCCTATATGGACAGCAGGAACTTGAGCTAATATTGCTGTCTCCCAGGGTCTGCACTGGTGAAAAGCTGGAGCTGGAGTTAGGACTTGAACCCAGATACTCCAGTGTGGGATGTAGACTTCTTAACTGCTAGATTAAATGCTTGCTCCTGCCATCATCATATTTTGAATAAAACTATATTAAATCTATAACAATAAGGAGCTGGTTAAACTAAGTGTGGTAAATCTGTTATGGTATTCTGTGTAGGTGTAAAACATTATGAAATGCATGATTAATAATATGACATATTTTAAAATGAAAATGTATCATCTATGAGGGAAATTTAAAAATTCATTGATGTGAAATTAAAAAATAAGTTTATTTTGGTACAAAATAGTTGATTCAAGCATACCCTTTTTTTCAGAGTACACATTTTCCATGAACATTTGAAAACCCCTTTCCTATTATGTGAACAAAAGTGATTGCTTGCATTCTAACTCTTGACTTTTTTTTTTTTTGACAGGCAAAGTGGACAGTGAGAGAGAGAGAGACTGAGAGAAAGGACTTCCTTTTTGCCGTTGGTTCACCCTCCAATGACCGCCACGGCTGGCGCACCACGCTGATCCGATGGCAGGAGCCAGGTACTTCTCCTGGTCTCCCATGTGGGTGCAGGGCCCAAGCACTTGGGCCATCCTCCACTGCACTCCCTGGCCACAGCAGAGAGCTGGCCTGGAAGAGGGACAACCGGGACAGAATCCGGCGCCCTGACCGGGACTAGAACCCGGTGTGCCGGCGCCGTTAGGTGGAGGATTAGCCTATTGAGCCGCGGCGCCAGCCCTAACTCTTGAATTTAACATTGGACTCACAAGTATACATGATATTACTTTAAAAATGAAATGAGAGGACTGTGATTGGATGATACATTGTGATACAAGAATAATGATTAAATAATTGTGTCTACTTAAGGTACAGTTAAAAATCATTTACAAAAATATCACAGTGATATTAGCTTTTGCTAAATATAGTATGAGCCATGTTTTTTCTTGTTATGTCTGTGACCTTGTTGATTAGTCTCTAATGGTATATCTATTGCTATGTAGCAAATTACCACTCTCCTAAGTTTTATGGCTTTAAACAATAAGCATTTATTATATTATAGCTTCTGTGGGTGAAGACTTTGGGGTGGTTCAGCTGGGTGAGTCTTGCTCAAGAGATTGCAGTCAGAATGTTGGCAGGGGCAGCAGTCATCTGAAGTCTTGACTGGAGCTGAGACTCACTCTCATGATGGCAGACGCCCAAGGCTGGGTGCAGGGAACTTCAGTGCCTCACCATGTGGGTCTCCTCCTAGGCTTATTTGGTTGTCCTCACAATATGGCAACTAGCTTCTCCCAGACTGATCCAAGCAGAAAAGCAAGGAGGAGGACATCATGTCTTCTACAACTTAATTTCAGAAGTCACATAGTACCATTTCTGCTATATTCTACTCATTAGAAGTGAGTCACTAATTTCAATCAAGGGAAAAAGGGCTAGCATGGGTGTTTGGCCCAGAAGTTAAGATGTTGCTTGGAATTTCCCAGTCCCATATTGATGTACCTGGATTTGATTCTTGATTCCAGCTCCTGACTTCATCCTGTGCTAATGCACATCCTAGGAGGCAGCCAGTGATTGTTCAAGTAATTGGGTCCCTGCCACCCATGCAGGAGACCTAGATACCTGGATTGAGTTAGAGTCTCCTGGCTTTGGCCTGCCCAGTCTTAGCTATTGCAAACATTTATGGAGTGAACCAGCAGATGGAAGATCTCTTTGGGTCTGTCTTTTGCATCTCTTTTTTTTTTATTCTACTTTTTTAAACATTTTTTGACAGGTAGAGTTATAGACAGAGAGAGAGACAGAGAGAAAGGTCTTCCTTCCATTGGTTCACCCCCCAAATGGCTGCTACAGCTGGAGTTGTGCTGATCCAAAGCCAGGAGCCAGGTGCTTCCTCCTCATCTCCCATGCAGGTGCAGTGGCCCAAGTGCTTGGGCCATCCTCCACTACCTTCCCGGGCCACAGCAGAGAGCTGGACTGGAAGAGGAGCAGCCAGGACTAGAACCCGGCATCCATATGGGATGCCAGTGCCACAGGCGGAGGATTAGCCAAGTGAGCCACAACGCCGGCCCTCCCTGTCTTTTCAACATGTGTAGTGGATTGCCTCCCAATTACAATTCACATCACCTTCCCTTACCCTCCTTTTGAATGCCCACATGCTGTCATATAATTTTTGTTATTTTAATAACACATTCTCAATATACATGGTATATCCACATTCTCAATATACTAGAATCTACATAGTATGTCCTAAGTGCCTGACTGCATAGAATTCTGGAGTTGGAACAAAAAAACACACTAGAGTTCCTGTAACTCAGCCCACTACCTTTTCTACATCATCTTTTAGAGCATTGCTCAGAGCTGTCCATTTAGGATCTAGCTGCATAATTCTACTCAAAAAAGGTCACTATCCTGCTACCATGTTAAGATACTTAGCAAAAATTCTTGATTACAGGATTAATCTTAATTACAGAAACCCATATACTAAAGAAAGCAAGCTACGGGCGCCGGTTCTAGTCCTGGTTGCTTCTCTTCCAGTCCAGCTCTCTGCTGTAGCCTGGGAAAGTGGTGAAGGATGGCCCGAGTGCTTGGGCCCCTGCACCCACATGGGAGACCTGGCTCCTGGCTTTGGATCGGCACAGCTCCGGCCGTTGCGGCCATTTGGGGAGTGAACCAATGGAAGGAAGATCTTCCTCTCTGTCTCTCTCTCACACTGTCTGTAACTCTACCTGTCAAATTAAAAAAAAAAAAAAAAGCAAGCTAATGAGACACATTAGCATATCAGGGAAGTCACATGATGTGACAACTTTCACATAGGAAATCTTTACTCTTCTGTTTTTATTTTTTCTTTTATTGTTTTAAGATTTATTTTATTTATTGAAAGGCAGAGTTACAGAGAGAGAGGTAGAGATCTTCCATCCTCTGGTTCATTCCCCACATGGCCGTAATGGCTGGAGCCAGAGCTGGATTCAAAGTGAAACAGCCAGGACTCTAACCATATAGGATGCTGGCACTGCAGGCAATGGCTCAACCCCCTACACCACTGGCCCCTGCTGTTACCCTTTTAAGAACATCTCTGATGCCTTGACAAGTACTTTTGGCAGGAAATCATCCTGTAACACGGACTCTTCCTCTTATCTTCCCCAACTGAGTTTTGGGGTGATGCTGTCCTCTATCATTGGTCTGGATTTTTCTTCTCCTAAAGACAGAGAAAATGGTAAAAGAGTCTCATTACTGGATACTGGCCCTGATTCTGCAGCCTATGAGTAAATGAGTTAGTACTGTTTACCTAGGAGGTTTGTAATGATTATTTCCTGCTTTAAATTCAATCCTGATTTTCCTGCAAATGCAGCATTCAGAGGAAAAGAAAGAACTCAGCTGTCTGTACAAACATATGGAAATCAATGATAAATGGACAGAGACTGCACAGTATATTTATTAACCAAGCTCATATAAATCATAATTTTTCAACCATTTATTAAACTAATAGGATTGTTTGGGAACATCAAAGGATTCTTTATTAAGTAAATAATCATGTTTATCCACTCAGTTATGGGGAAAAGCAAATCATTCACACTGCATTTACTCTGCCTCATCTGATTTCATTTCTCTTAAATGTCAGCCGTTGATAATTTTTACCAAACAACCTGGAAAAAAGTCCAAATTTCTACTAGATTTCAGCCAGCTCTCCAGTTCAGGAAAAGGACTACTGCTTGCTTCTCAGATTTTCATTTCTTTTTTCCCCAATTGGGTAAATTTTCTATGAGGCTTAAATGACTGTTCCATGGCAAACACACATTTAGATAGTTGGCCATCTAGACCAAATCATCCTTTCTTCATTCATTCTGTGTCATTCTATTTGTTATCTGGCTACCCAGGCACATCGCAGTGACCCGCTTTGTTAATTAAGCATGAGCCAGATACCTTCAGCACCTGGGACAAGTCCCTCTGTCCATTCTTGTTCACTGGTATTGGCTCAGAGAACCCTGACTTTCCCCAGTGTGAATCGGAATAAAATGTAATTAGGAAGTGAAGTCTACTGCCTAATTGGAAGGACATCCTCAAACATTTGTTTTTGTTTTATTGGTGATTTCAGTGTTTTGATTGGTGATTTCAGTGTTGTCCTGAAAAAATATTCTTATAAATCAGAATCTTATAGATAAAAATGTCTTTTATCCATATTTAACATGCACTGGGGATGCTCTACTCCTTACTAAATAGATATTGATCCCTCTAAGGCCAGTCATTGGGCACAGTGAGAAATATGAATGTTTATAGAGTTATTCACTAAATAATTATTCCTGGCTCAAAGCTAGACCCTGTTTGTTACACTGGAGATATAGAAATAAACAAAAAACAAGAATCCCGAGGAAGCTGCAGTTCTAGGGAAAAGATTAAACAAGTAAATAGCAAATAAAATGTTCAAGTAGCAGCCAATGTGATCAAGCAAGTTAAAATTTGACAGAATAATCTGAGAATGAGTGATAGCATCATATAAGGTAGGCTCAGGCCCTGAAAGTTAATATTAGGAATGCAACTTAATTTGGAAGGGGAGAACAGTCAATGAAGGTATATGGAAGGTGATAATTGATTTACCTTTAATGAGAAGCAGAATAAGGCATATTCCTTTCCCTGGAAGAATTTACATTCAAGAAAGTTTCTAAGACTGCATTCAATTTGTTATCTAATCTTAAATATGTATCTATGAGCTTTGTGTTAAAAATAGTATAATTCAGACAACTCAGTAATTAAATATGAGTCCATACTGATGAAAATAAATAAAGTAATACATAAATAAAATTGGGGAAATGGGCAAATCTTCCTTTGGAAGAATTACTTGGAGTATGTGCAGATACTCTCACCTCAGAGCCTAATGTTCCCTTACTTGAGGCCGTTCTGGACCTAGAGCCTTGATTTCAGAGAAGAGAGTATGGAAAGGTCAAGCCAGAAACTTTGGAAAATCTGACAAATACCACCTTACCTAAGTGATAAAGCTTAACATCATCAAGGCAAAGTCATGCTAATACCATATAACATCTGATATGATACATTAAAAAAGAATTCAGTTCTATGTTATACATCTCCAAAGCCTACAACCCTGGTCCAATCCTGAGAAAACACCAGAAAAATGCTTTAAATACATTCTATGAAATTCCTGATCAATGCATTTCAAAACTGTCAACGTCATGAAAGATCACCATGGATTGGTGGTAACTGAGGAGCTGTGATAACTAAATTTACTGTAGAATCCCAGATTGAATACTGGAACAGGGAAAGAATCTTAGGGGAGAAACTGTTGAAAACCAAATAAAATCTGTAATGTAGTCTGATAGTGTACCAATGTTAATGTCTTAGTTTTGACAAATGATCATGGTTATGCAAGACATCATTAGGAGAAGGAGGGTAAGGGTATGTGGGGATCCTCTGTAGTCTCCTGCAATTATTCTATAAATCTATCTTCATCCAAATTAAAGAGATTTGAAAAATGCTCACACCAACTGTATTAGTCATCTCTTCATCACTACAATGAAACACCCAAAGAAGCTAACTTATGAAGGAAAGAGAGGTTTATTTAGCTCATGGTTTTGGAGATTCTCAGTTTGGGACCAGGCGGCCCCACAGTTGAGCCTCTGCTGAGTGTGATTGGTGGAGGGCCAATGGTGGACTTTAAGTGGAGAAAAGATGACATGGCAACTTGGGATGCAAAGACAGTAGTTAGGCCCAAATAGGCTTTATAACCTGCTCTCTTGTGAGAATTACTTTCAAAGGGCATACCTCAATGACTTAAGGATCTCCAACAAGGGTCACCTCCTCAATATCATAATTGTAATTAAGCTTCCAAACTCTGAATGCCATTAACTTACAACTTTGAGAATAAAACACTAAGGCATGGACCTTTAGGGGGGCACTTAACATCCAAATGCATATCCATACCATATGATCAAACTCCAGGCTTTCAAATGAAAATTATTTTCTTTTATGATGATCAGGGAAGGTTTTAGGTGATATTTGAGTTTGGTGCTAAGCAATAAATAAAAAAAAGGGTTTCAAAAGACAAATAAGATTTTCTAGAATGGGAAAATGGCTTTAAGAAAAAAAAAGAATAAGGGGTATGTGGGAAATAGAAAATATTCCATTTTTATTATGTGCAATTTTACACCAATTAGCTGTAAATTCCTCTTTGTGTCCTCTGATTAATCACTTTTGAATTACCTCTTTTATTTTCTCCTTGAACTATACTTCTTTCACTATACTGAGCTTCTCAAGGGTAAGAACCATACCTAATTAATACAATGTCTTTTGTAGAGTAGACCCACAGAAATTTGCTTAAGGAATGTGTAGAAGGAGCATGATATTAGGTTGAGGTCTTGAAAGTTAACATAAGGAATGTAACTTAATTTGAAAACAAGTGAAAAAAAAAGAAAACAAGTGAAGAGTCACTGGGGCTTGTTAAGCAGAGAAAAAGATATGATCAAAGTTGAGTTTATGGAAGATTCAACTCACACTCACTACATCCCATGGGCTAGGTGGATCCAGGTTCCCAGGTTTTTGTCTCTGACCCAAGAAAGAATTTGAGGCCAAGAAGTGGGTCAAGGTCATCAAAGAAACAAAATTTGTTTATATGCAAAGTGAAAGTACACACTCAATAAGAAGTGTAGAAATGCTCAAGAGAGAGCATTCCACAGGATTTGAGTCCATCCCTATATGAATGGGAGACACAGGAGAAATGTCTGGGGCAAGGATAAGTCGAATATGCAAAGGGAGTGGAGTTTGGGGGCAGGGCTTGAGTACTGCTCATTTCTTTGCAAATCCTCTCCTCCTATCCCTTTTTAGGAAATTTCAGAAGTTTCAAGGAATCAGGAGCATGAAGGGAGTAGGTATATCAGCCATGGTCATTTTATTATAATGACCTTATGATGAGCTAAAGTGAAAGAGATCCAGCTGGCAGCCATGTTGGTTATCTGTAGCCAGCACGGGTGTAAGCAGCAAATCCAGGGAAGCTGAAGTTTTCTGCAGAGGTGCATTTGGGCAGTGCAGCCAGGGTAGCATAGGCAAGACCTGGAGGGAGGGGCCTGCAGCCTCATCTCCTCCATGCCTATATCAGAAGGTGGAGTGTATGGGGAGAGAGATCAATTAGTGGCAAGAAAACCATTGTTTTTACATTAATCTGTGTTAGATTTATTACAGGGAGAACTTGGGAAAAAGAGGCTATGGAGAATCCACCCACGCTGTCTTCTGGAGGCTTTTATACCCTCATACTCTTGTTTTATACTCTTTATAAAAATAATTAAGGAATGTCCACTGAATGCATTGTACTGAGCTGAGCACCATGAATATGTGAGAGAAAGGCTAGGACAACCTGGATGCATCTGGAGAAGTTTCATTCATAATGAATAATGCTAAGTTCTTTAACAGACAACAGTAAAATTGCATACATGAATTTCATAACCAGTCACATTTAGGCCTGTAGGTCAAGGTTGAATGTGGGAAGTGGTGCACTCCAGTCATCCAGGAACACACGGTTCTCCCATTACCTCACAGAGCCTCCAAGTGAAGAAGAAACGACATGAGAATGTAAAACTGCCCTTCACGGCTGAACATAGAGATGACAATTTACCACCTCCATGGATAGAAACAAGTAATGCAGCTACACCAAAACTCCTGGGGAATGGCACAGACACTGTAGCAGAAAATACAAGTGTTGAGGCATTCTGGTACTTTGTCCTATTAGTTTTGTATGTTTGTTTTTTTTCTTAAATAGGTTGTTTTTTGTGTATATGCTGTTCTTTCAACTATACCATAAACTCTCTGAGAGCAAGGATTGGATCTCGGACTGCTTTAAATCTACCATTTAAAGTAGAGGCTGAAACGTGCGTGACATGCAGCCTTCAGGATGGCTCTCAATGTTTCCTGCCTCCTGTATTCACCTCTTGTGTAGTGCTTCCTCATCCTGAATGGGCCTGATCTGTGTAAGCAAGAGTGTTGAGGAGAGGACCGAGTGTGGCTTCTGAGATGGACCACAGAAAATCACTGTGGCTCCCATCTTGCGTGCTCTTGGATCACACAGTCAGGAGGCCAGCTGCCATGTGGTGAGGACACATAAGCAGCCCTATGAAGAGGTCCATCTGGTGAGAGATAGGGGCCTCCTGCCAGCAACCAGCAGTAACCTGCCAAGTCTGTGAATAAGCCACCTTGAAGTGAATCTTCCTTCCACCCCTCATCAAAATCTTGAAGTCTACACTTCAGAGGTTTCAAAGCATTTCTACTCTGAGATTTCCATCCATCCATTCATCAAATATCTCATTCATTTCTCATTAAGGCCTTGCAGCAAGATTATCATAACACTTCAGCAAAGTAAGAGGTGGCAAATTAGGTTCTTCTCACATGCAGCTCCCATTGGTTGGAAGGGATGGCTGTCATTTCCATGTCTTTGAGGTTGTGTCCAAGAATAAAGGAATGAAAACTTTTTGCCATGAGCAGTGCTTTCCAGGAACATGCAAACATATGGCAGTGGCTCATGGGTGTGCATTTACCATCTCTGGTCAAGGACTGCAATGCCTTGCTTTCTGAAGCCTATGTCCTCAGTAGCATGCATATGACAGGAAGTACCTTGGAGAAGGCCCCCATAGCTGCAGGTCTGAAAATTTGCATAAGGGAAAATGAAAACCAATGTGTTTTGGCCTTACGTCAATCAGTTACTCTGGTTTATTTATTGCCTACCATGTAGGGATTCAAATTGGCTGCTGAGAATCATGTGGTTCCCAGCTCTTGTAAAAGACCGAACTTCTCAGCTCCAGTCTCATATTCTTGTGGTTGGATTTTTCTAGCACCAGCCTCAAGGGCAAGTTAAGTAACTTGGACTTTGAAAGAAGAGTGTGATACATTTTACCCTAGCAGAGCTCATTTATATTCTCAGCAGACTAGCGGCCTAAGTTTGCTAAATGTGTAAATTTTCAGGTACTTGCAAAATGTCAAGGTCATAAATCTTTTTAGAAACAAAGCTTATTTATTTTACCTAAATTTTTTCCATGGAAAATAAAGAAAAGTTCAAAGAAAAGAAATAATAGAAATAATAAAAAACCAGCTCTTTGTTTTTTTTTTGGACAGGTAGCCATGATCTTGCCTGTGAAAGCTCACCTATTTTGCTATTGTCCAAGTTAGAAAACATGCATAACTGGGACAATATCATATGTAGTTTTGTTCTTATTTCTTCAGCTATCAGTATAACAAATATTTCCTGTGTTATTACTAACTCTAACTCTGCAAATTTAATTTAAGAATGTTGTTATTTTGTTGTATCTATTTATCAAAATTTATCAATCCATTTTCCTAATATTGAATTATTTCTAAGGAGAGAAGGAACTTAAGAAATTACTACAAATCTTCAAATAAACAAATACATTACTATTACAGACTGAGATGATTCCTTGACTCGTGGAATCATAAACTTGTAAGACTGCCTTAGGGTGAGTGGATTACACTGATTTTACTTTGTGGAAGAGGAAAATGCCAAATCAGGAGTTTCCTGATTTGTCTAGGATTACAAGACAGCCAACAGCAGAAATGGGTTCATAGTTCAAGCTTCTGACCACTGTAGAAATGTTGAAAGTAGATAGCACTTTTCTTTAGCAGGCGTTCAGCTTAACGCCTAGCTTTTGAAGTTGCCCCTACCATGGGTGTGCTTCAGTCAGAAAGAAAAAAAAAAATTGAGGTTTCTCAGTTTGCCTGTTCACATGTGTGCGAGCTATGAATATGAAGAGTTGAGCACACAGCATGCTGGGGAGAGACCTACCTAGGCATCCTGTCTGTAAATATTATCTCCAGCTGTGCTTTAGCCTCACTATGGCTCCAAAAAGCACAGCAATGTATGTCTTTGAATCTCAGATTTTTAATTTTTCAGTAGAATTACATTCCTTGATATTTTCATGGTCCAATCTTTTAACTTCTGAGCCTGGTCCTTATCACTGATTTCAAACTCAATGGATATTTTTAGTTCAGTAGGTGGGAACTAATATGAAGACTTCACAGTTTACCAGTGGAACAAGAGTCACAACCAACTGCTGAACTATGGAGGTGAGTAAATTTAGTGAACATATACATGGAATCCAAAGCTATTTGCTTTCGTAAAACATTTCTATCACCACTACAGATCACTTCTTGCTTATCCGTATTGGGGTGGTAAATCAACAACTTGTGGTTAACTGACCAGCAAATGAATAGTAACATTCTCCATTAGAATGACTTATCACAAAGCTTTGTTCAACTCTCCTTGATGATTTTGGCTTCAATGGGAATTGCCTCTGATGTTGTAAATTCTCTCATGCTTGATAAATGTATTTGACTAGGCAGTACTTTAAAAACAGAATATATGCATGTTTTGGGGACTTGATAACAGTAGCACAGGACAGTTATCATCTAATCAGCTTTCTCCATTCTGTGTGTCCCTGGACATGGACTCTTTGGAATACCTCTCCTGTACTGGGGTGACCAA